TCCTTCTCAAATTCTCTCCAATTGAAACCCCCCCACCAAATCAGTTCTCTTGGAAAAAGTCTAAATTGCGTCCTTCTTGGTTGTGGGCCGTTTCTCCCTTGCTCGGCCCATTTCTACTCAGCTCCCTCCACCTCCATGTGCGCTGCACGCGCCGAGAGAGAGAGGCATCGCCTCTCTTCTTCCTCTCTCTTTCCTCGCTCTCTCTCTCTGCTTCCTTTCTCTCTCTCCCACGCCAGCGCTGCCGCCATCGCCGCTTCCCGCCGTCGCCGCCCAAAACCCGCCACCGCCTTCGCTCTTTCCCGCGCTCGCGCGTGGCCGACCGGCCGGTCGTTGCCGCCGTCAGCCCTGCCGCGCCCTCGCGTCCGCGCGCACGCGCTCGCGCGTGGGTCGCCGCCGCACCAGCCTCGCTGCCCTGCCGCGCTGCACCGCGCAGCCGCACGGCCCCGCGCGCGTGCTCGAGCCGCTCCACGCTTTTCTTGCCAAAACCCGGAGGCCGAGCTCTCCCTCTCCCTCCTACTCCCTTCCCGAATCGGCTTGGAGCGAGCCTCTCTTTTTCCCCTTCTTTTTCCCTTTCCCAACCACCATCGGCGTCACCGCCTGCCACCGCCTGGACCACGGGCGCGACCGCCAGCCCGCGCTCACGACCCGAAATTCGGCCGTCTGATCCACCGCCTTCGCCGCCCAAAGCATCCACGCCGTCGCCACTTTCGCATCGCCCATGAAACCGCCGCTGCCGCCAGCCGAGCGCTTGACCGCCAAGGTCGGTTCTCCCCTCCCAAACCGACATCGCCTCACCCCGCGCCTATAAAACCCGCACTCCCCTCCCTCGTTCGGCTCCTAGCCTCTCCACCATCGCACCGTTTCTCAGGCCAAGAACGCTCGCCCAACGCCGCGGCCTCCTCCGTCGCTGGTGTTCCCTTCCTCGCCGCCTTGCGTCGCCGCTCGGCCAACGCGGTGCTGCCCGCCGTGAACACCATCCTCCAGACCTGGCGCCGCCCTCCCCGAAGCCCGGCCGTTTTCCTTCGCCGGCTTCCCGTTTGCTCGCCATCGACGCCGTTCATCGCCATCGGTGAGCTCTTCACCTAATCCTCCTCGTTGCCACCCTCCTGGATCACCGTAGAACACTCCCGAACCGCCGCTTTGATCGCTGGACCCCTCTCCCTCCCCGGCGGCGTTCCGCCCTTCCCCGCACCGCGCCTCGCTGTCGCCGGCCTCTCTCAGAGTCTCTCCGCCCCATCCGACCCCGAGAACAAGTTCCCAGAGTCCTAGAGATGCTCCCGCCACCACGAATTGACCCCATTCTCTCCCGGCGTGTTTTCCCCCTTTTGCTCGCCGCCGGTGGCAGCCGTCGAAATCCGCCGCCTCCGTCCAGTTCCGGCCACATCCGAGCCGAGGAATGGAGTCTGCGTCTCCTTTTCCCTCCCTCCGGTGGTCTCCCTTCCTCCCGCCTCGCCTCGCGGCCGCTCCGCCGACGCGCGCCGCCGCCTGCCGTCCATCTCCCGGTCGGTCTCGTCTTCCTCCTCTCGCCGGCCTGCGTGGCTGCCACGTAGGCGCCACGTCGGTGCCAACTCGGCTAGACCGAGTCAAACCGGCCAGCCTGGCTAGCCCCCTCCGTGCGCACGGACCACGGTGCGCCATGCGGCTGCACGTGGGCCCGTCGCGCCTCGGTCCACCCGGCGCACCAATCGTGAGCCGCATCCACCCGAAACCCTAAACGCCGCCCGCGTGCTCCCATCCCTCCGTGAACCGTGTCGCCGACATGCGGGCCCCACCCGGGACCTCGCATGGTGGGTTCGGTCCACCCGGACTGCCCCCTTTCCCTTCCGCGCGCCCCTAATGGGCCGCCTCCTTGCGCCCGCGCCGGCCCAATGGCTCGGCCGAGCCTCCTTCTACCCATTGGGCCGCGCCTCACGCTCGGCCTAAAAGTCCATATTCCTCCCTCCGTCCAAGTCAGTGTCCATCTCTCATGAGCTAAAAGTCCAAATTTGCTCCCTCTCAATTTTATTCTCTCTCACCTTCTTGTTGACCCCACTTGTCAATGAGTCAAAGATATTCTTGAGAATGTCTTTTCCAATATTCCACAAATATTTCTCTTTTCTATAAATTCAATAAATCATTTTTCCCTCTTTCAGAAATCAATTCCTTATTCCAAAATTCCATGAATCATTTTCCTTGGTCAGTGACTGTCAATAATATTCTTGAGAATATTATTTCCATAAATTCCGACAAAACATTTCCTTGTCCAGAAAATCCATTTAGACCTCCAAAATTCATATCCCTCGATCCGTAGCTCCGATCGCCTCCGTTCCACTTCCAGTAATTCCGTAAAATTGAGATCTATTTAATGGCACTACTAATTAGTCTAAATAGGATCTTTCTTTTGGTCCTTTGTTTAGGTTTTCGATTGTTTGCGTATAGTTGCGGTTATCGGATTTTCGTCGATCGCGGGTTTTCTCGAAGATTCGTGAAGCTTCGTGAAGACCTTGAGCAAGGCAAGTCACCCTTTGATCAATTGCTCCTATAATTGAAAAGTCATTATTATTTTGTTTGCAACTTGCATTATTAGAATCACACACTTAACTTGCTTGGCCTCGGTTTGCGTGCCAAACCGACGGACCTACCCAGTAGTCGCACTAATTTCTGTAGGTCGTACTACCCTGATTCCTTGTCGCTCCACCCTTGTGGTACCTCGGTATTCGTGCTCTCTGAGCGCGTATACCAAATATCCCACATACACCGTTGTTTGTCGAAAACTTGGGAAATGGGTTTGTGAAGCCTTCAAAACCCGACATGTGGTGTCGGTGTGTTTGAAAATAAAATGAATTGTGAAAACTCGCGATGCGGGGGTTGTGCCTATGTGGCACTGTCCCGTATTCGCATATAAGGACCGATTCCTGTGGGAAACTCATCGAACATAATCAAAGTGCAACCACAAGGTGGAATGAGACACCCTGGCTAAGTAACTAGTCGGTTCAGGGAAACCTCGCATGCCAATAGTTGGGAACGCCGGGGCGGGGTCGGACAAACCGGGTTCCTGGTAAGGCAAGGACGAGAAGCTTGCTCACTTACCGATCAAGGTGGTTGGACTTGATTTGTGAATGCCTAAAATGGCCTATACTTACATGAGGATTTGATCCTTCTATGTGGCATGAGGTAACCCTGGGTCGGCTTGGGAAAGGCTTTGTCGCGAACCTCTGACACCGGCCAGTGTCTGGAGTAAGTTCGTGTCTTGTGGGTAAAGTGTACCCCTCTGCAGAGGTGGGTAAAGTTCGAACAGCCGTGCCCACAGTCATGGGCGGATGTGAGGTGGTTCCCGTTGCGTAGATTTGTTTGCCTGTGCTTTGTGAAAAGTTGTTGTGGTGTGGGAATCGTAACCAGAATCAGCCTATGTGGCAGATGGACGACCTGAGTGGTCAGAAACGAATCTGTGTGATTCGGGATGTCTGCGGGCATCATAGACTAGGCTTCCCGAGTGGAAGCGGGTTGTTGTGCTGCTGGGCAGCTGGACTCTGGGAGTCCGAGAAAATGAAAAAGGCTCTGGGAGCCGATTAATCAAGTGGAATGGCTCTGGGAGCCGAGAAGTAATGATCTGAACCAGGAGGTCGGTACATTACCAAATGAGCTGTTGAAAAACATCTCTTAAAGTCGAATCGAGACGCAAGTCTCTTTTCGGCCCAAACTTAGAAAGAAATAAATCACTTAGTGATTTCAAAATGTCTTCAAATAAAAGATTTGCAAAACAACCTTGCCTCTCTTCCAAGCTTGCATTAAACACCTAAGTTCCCGTGACTTGCTGAGTACGAAAGTACTCACCATTGCTCTATATAAATATATATATATATATAGTTCCTCCGCCCTGAAGAGAAGATAAAGTGAAGTGAAGATTAGGGTTTCGTCCTGGTTCCCAGCCGTCGCCTGTGGTGTTGGGTATTAGACCGTTGGTTCTGCTGCTGCTGTTGTTGGTGTTCGCCTCGTCCGTGTCGTCGGTTGTATTCTCGGGCTGTCTGAGCTGCAGCCTAAGTTAAGGTAAATAAGTCCTCTATTTATTTTAAAGATTGCTATGATTCATATTTGTCACCGTGGGTACCAGCACTATGTCCTGGGACTGGTACCGAGATCGCGGTTTCGTAGGAAGCGGTTCGCACCGTTTTCCCTACGACACACTCCTGTCAGGTGCCGTTGTACGGCGGTATCAGATTGGGGTGTGACAAGTTGCTCTACAAGGTCATTCATAAGATATGGGCCACAAATCTATAGATGATGTCTGTCAGCTATGGGTGATAATGGTGGGTTCGACGTGCAGTTCCAATAGCCTTCCAAAAGAAGCAAAATATTTTGGTTTAATATTTTTTTTTAATATACATATTGTCTTGTTAGGATTTGCTCCATTATTATTCATGCATGAATATTTTCTGCAGTCTTAACTACTCCAAAATGTTGATATGCAATTACTTTGCCTATCAGCTCTGAATGAGTGAATTCTTCATTACTGATGTTTCGTTGTCCCTGTTTCACTTGGGGTCAAATGCTAATTTCTTCATGCTTGGTTAATGAAAATCCTTTTTCTCTTAGACAGTGTGCTTCTCTTAGACACTTGGGTCTGGAGGACTCTACTGTTATTAATGTATTAATAAATTTACTTCAGTTGTGAACTTCCCTACTGTTCTCGAAATGATAGCTTTATTACTATAGGCTAGTGTTGATGCCTCATAGAACACAAACTCTCCAACATAATTACTTTAGCAAGGTGAAAACACATTCCAGATTGTAGACTACTACGAGATAGTAGTATCATGTATTGTATCATGAGTAATACTTAATAAGCGTGCTTTACATTAGGTGGAAAAATATATTGAGATAACAAATTACGCCTGCTTTAGCTGTTATATGCATGCATGTTCCTACTGACTTGCTTGGTTTACCCATTAAATGACTTCTGTTATTAAAGCAAGGAAAACCAGGAGTTACATGCCAAAACTCCAGGAGTACCCTTCTTGAGATCGACTGGCTACAAAGGAAAAGGTACATCTTCCCATGGAGTTTTGTATACAATCTTGTGTAACTTTTCCCTATTAACAGTACAAATATTATGTACAATGTCAACATATGTCCCCTGAATGTCTAAATTCTTGAAGATTGTCCATCAAATACGCTTCAGACATATGTTCCCTGAACATCTCTGCATCTGCAAGTCAGTTTCTTGCACATGCACACACAATATAAATGTATCCGACCTATCTTGTTAAGGATTTATTTGTGATTACCATGAACAGTGCCTTTGAGCAAACACTTGAATGCATGAGGTAATAACACACATCCTATTTACTTTGGTATTTGCATATAAGATAGAGACATTAATTAGCCACCCCAAAAGGGGAATAATCGACTACACCACTGTACATACAGTACATGCCCTCCCAACATGGTATCTTCAACTGGACAACGTTTGTGCCAATTCTTCTTGAGAGTATTTATCTCCCCTGCTACCCTTCGAAATCAGATGTAGCTTTGCTAGTTCATTATTCCACCATGTGTGCTTGACCCAAGTACCCAACACAATCATGTATTCTTAGTTAGATCAAGAGAACACCATCATCAAGCATATCAAAGCTAAGCCATTCTCATGAATTTCTGGGGAGGAAAATGAGTGCAAGTGAACTTGTGATCCTATTTCCTTGACAGTTGACACCTTCTACAACCAAAAGCACCATTGATCCATCAAAAACCGCCACAAGAGGAGAGTTGCATGCATACCTCCTGCTGCTATGTGTTGTTCCCACCAGCTTGTTTGGGTTCAAGGGCCAATAGTTGTTGGCGCAGGGCCATCTGGACTCGCTGCTGCTGCATGCCTGAAGGAGAAGGGAATCGACAGCCTTGTTCTTGAGCGCTCGAGCTGCTTAGCTCCTCTATGGCAGCTCAAGATGTATGACCGCCTCAGCCTTCATCTACCTCGTCAGTTCTGTGAACTTCCTCTCTTTCCTTTCCCTGCCAGCTACCCTGATTACCCCACAAAGCAGCAGTTTGTGGCTTACCTGGAGAGCTATGCTGCAAAGTTTGGTATCAATCCTATGTACAACCATACAGTGGTGTGCGCAGAATTTGACGAGCGACTGATGCTATGGCGGGTGAGGACTACACAGGCCACTGGCATGATGGAAGATGATGTTGAGTATGTGTCGCAGTGGCTGGTTGTTGCAACCGGAGAGAATTCAGAGGCCGTGCTGCCAGTGATCGATGGCTTGGAAGAGTTTCGAGGAAGTGTCATCCACACTAGCGCATACAAGAGCGGTTCTAAGTTCGCTGGGAAGACTGTCCTTGTTGTAGGGTGTGGCAACTCTGGCATGGAGGTGTGCCTAGACCTGTGCAACCACAATGGTTACCCTCGTATTGTAGTAAGAGATGCAGTATGTGATTTTTCCTCTATGCCTGTTAGTTTTATACTTGTTTTATAGTTTATGCCATTCTGTGTAATATATAGTTGTTTATACTTTATATTCATTCTTTGCCCAATAAAACTCACATGTAGATTATAGTATGTGGGATGTTTACTTGTTGGTTTCCTTTAGTTAGTTCTTTGACCTAATGCCTGTGTTTGTTAGAAAGTGCACCAGGAGCAACACTTGCCCTATACTTCCATGGTGTTTGTGCATCTTTAATATTTGAGCAATTCATGGCATTCATCCAAATTATTTTGGTCTATTGATTACTTCTCTCTTAAAATGTTTTCTGCCCAAAGTCGAACCTCCTATGTTGTTTATGTGTCAAGCTTAGTAACGATGCCCTATGTCGGGCTCCGTCAGTGGTTTCAATTGTTAGTGAGGTTGTTCTAAGTTATGGCGAGTGTTGTGTGGTTGTTCAGCCAGCCGGTGGTTCTGTATTCTTTTCTTGCAACCCACCTAGGGTTTTTATTTCCACTTGTTGAAATATAATTAGCAGTTTTACTGTCTGTTTTAGTTTTTTTTAAAAAAACTTGGTTGTAAAGTCTAATTTTTTATTTAGAGTTTTTTTTTCAAAAAAAATGAAAGCACTAAGTGGTGCATGGCACCTTGTCACTGCAATGAGAACACATCGTTACGAAACACTAGTACAATAGATTGAGAACCTAGTTTTCTTGACAAAGGCAGTCCTTTCTGATGGCTCTAAAATTTTGAAATGGCATGGGTTTGGTTACAAATTGCTAAATCAGCTTATATTGTTAGATATAGTATACTGTGTTGGGTACGAGGAAATAAGGATGAAACCCATACTTTCACAGGCATATTACTCACTGTAAAATTAGTTCTGATTAACATTTGTTCCAATCACCAAGCCAAAAAAAAACAAAAGCTTTAACCTCGTTAGCGTGCCTTAAGAAATTTTGGATCATGGGTTTGCAGGTGCACATCTTGCCCAGGGAGATGCTAGGTCAGCCGACCTTCCGGCTTGCAATGTGGCTGCTCAAATGGTTGCCGATCCATATCGTAGACCGGATTTTACTGCTTGTTGCACGAGCGATTCTTGGTGATACATCACAATTTGGGTTGAAAAGGCCTAGTCTTGGGCCACTTGAGCTGAAATCACTGTCAGGAAAGACACCCATCCTTGACATTGGCACTCTTGCAAAGATCAAGTCTGGAGATATAAAGGTTTATTTTCACTATTTTTCCAAAAATATTCATGAACATTCATAGCCTCTTACAATCATGGGTTGATTTATTTTCTGGATGATTTTTTCTTGTGAAGGTCCGACCTGCCATAAGAAGAATTGCAGGGCAGCAAGTAAAATTTGTGGATGGTCGTTCAGAGCAGTTTGACGCCATTGTACTTGCCACCGGCTACAAAAGCAACGTTCCCTGCTGGTTAAAGGTATATGGCAATACAGCTGATGTTCCTTTTGCTGTAGAAGAATTTCAGTATTTCTTTTCCTGAAAAACGTGTTCACCAATATTGAGTCACCTAGAAAGGTTGAGCGGTCTTCAGGCTAGGCGGCTAGCACCATAAGGTGGTGGGCTTGCCAACCTAGGTTCGAGCCTCACTTTTCTTAATAAATTCCGATATGAGGGCTCCTCCTCTCGTATCCAGTGTTTTGTTTAATATTCAGTCACTCAAGACAACCTACAGCCAATTTGAAACAAGTTCATACAAATGAAATTTGTGTACCTCCTGACTCTTTGGCCTCTTTTTTGGCGCCATTTGGCTCACTTTGAGCAGGACCAAGGGCTGTTTTCAGAAAAAGATGGGTTGCCAAGGAAAGCGTTTCCAAACGGGTGGAAGGGCGAGAGGGGTCTATACTCCGTGGGATTCTCCCGTCGTGGCCTGATGGGAACGGCTGCCGATGCGAGAAGGATTGCTCATGACATTCATATGCAATGGAAGTCGTCCAAAGGGAGGAGTCGTCCAGCCAAACCTTCTCCTTAGCTCTGTTGTAGATGCTCCATGGATGGCGAGTGTGTGTACCGTCCTGCCGTTTTTGGAGCTGTTTTGTTTTTGATTGGCCAACCGATTTGGCAGAAACAGCCAAGGCCGGGTGTAAACATCATGCAATTCGCGGAAGCGACGATTTTCAGGTTCCACATGTTAGAGAACTTTGCTCTGTTTGGCCTGGCCTTGGTAATGAATCTACTCTTGTTTTGGCTTGCGTGATGATGGCTTGCGACCCCTCTCCTTGGAAAAGCAGGAAAGGGAAAGGGCATCATGAACAGGAGAGGGAGACATCGCTGATGGGGAGCTGAGAGGCAAAAACTGTAACAGAGATCCAAATATCCAATGCAGTTGCTATTGTGCTTGTTTATTTTCTGATCTAATTAACAGTTCAAATCAGCTGCTACAATAGTATTACAGTTGGTCTTGCCATTTTGCTTTGATTCATGAGGTGGTGCCACTTGCAGTTACAGTAGCAACTGCACTGCACTGCACAGTAACCAAATCTCCAAAACTGACAGCACGGAGAAAGACCTAGGGTCTTACCGGCTAGCCTCACCACCTCTTAACAAACATCGATGTGAGATTTAAAAATTGACAGCATGTGGCTATTGGATATGCGGAGTTGACATTTTGGTTAAGACTGGCACCAACTATACGCTTATGTTTGATTGCTGAGATACATACGTTTCACTTGCTGGTTGTTTTACTAATCAAATTAAAATATTCGGCAATATGTTTATACATAGATTATGAGAAAAACAACTATACTAGCCAGAAACTAAAACATCTGAAATCAGTTAGCATCAAACGAAATTCAATCTAATCAATACCAGGCGGAGCCACGCATATGTCGCGAATACTGACAACAACTAAACATATGCGTGTCTGCACCCTCTTAATTTCTGAAAGAGATCTGCGACTTGACACCCATTAATTGGGATGTTCCTCTGCTAATTCGATGTCATGTAGTACTAGTACCTGTCATCTACAGGCTCTTTTGTGGGAGGAATGGGTGTTCTAGGAACCCCAGAAACTGCAAGTTGTCATTTCGTTAATGAAATGGGAGAGGTCATTATATCTTTCTAAAATAAGAGTGACGTGTTCTCTCTCCGTTTTAAAAAAAAAATCTAATCATGAGGATGTATATCTTTGACATGTACGTTGTCCAAATACATCTCTAGAAATTTTTTTTTAAAACACAGGAGTAGTACTTCAGGACATGCACAATTGTTTATGTACTGCCTCCGTTTTAGGTTTTAATACTTTTTAGCATTGCCTATATTTACATAGATATTAATAAATCTAGACACACATATATATCTAGATTCATTAACATATAGATAAATATGGGTAATGCTAGAAAGTTTTATAATATGAAACGGAGGACGTACATGAGCATGCAGCCATGCACACGTCGTCCAATATTTCCAGCCAAAGAGAGCAAAATTTAGCAAACGTAACGGATATTTCCGTTTGTGGTGCAGTAAAATTAAGACGCTAATCTTTGACGTTTCAACTGTTACTATCCCTTCAAGCAATCCATGAATTTTCTTCTCCTTTCTGACTTATTTTCTTTTCCAATTCCTAGTTTGTTTTAAAAACGGTGTGCTGTGGTGATGTGTGCGCGCGTTCGCCAGTGCTTCTCTTTACTCCAAAAGAGTATTGGGCCAGGCCCAAACAAAAGGCCCAGCCTGAGCGATAGTTGAAAGCCCATTAGCCGTACAAAAATATACGACAAAACACATTTTGTAAAGGAAAAAAATGAAAGTATACTCTTTTTAATAGTATTCTGTGTTTATATACCTGCATAGAAAAAAATTGCTCAAATATACCTCTACCACATAACGGAGACACGGGACCGCCTCAGTGTCGCTCTTCCATGCCGCAGGACCGGTGGGTGCGCAGGACGAGCATGTGGCACCGCCTTGCTCCCGCAGCCCGGGGAGCGACAGAGTGGTGGCGCGCGGGCCGAAACGGTCCCGAGGCAGTCCTGCGTCGCCGTTGCGCATCACCGAGGCGGCCCGACGTCACCGTTGCACGCCATTGACGCGTTCCTGTGTAGCCGTTGTGCGGCACCGACACTGCCCCACGTGTTCCTGCCCTCCATCACGTTGCCGCACACCCGGGTCATGGCGCCGCACTTCCATGCCGCAGGACCAAAGCGGTGCCGCACGGCCGTCCTGCGCAACCACTAGTCCCACGGTATGGAAGAGCGGCACCACCTTAATTCTGCGTCCCTGTTATACAGTAGAGGTATATTTATGCAAATATTTTTCATGCAGGTATATAAATGCAAAATATTAATGAAAATATATATTTTCTTTTTTTTTCTTGTTAAGTACTCGACAGGATCAAACGGACGCAATTGACCACGCATGACACATATAAAACCAACACTACGTGAACAAAAACTATACTACAACGATTACGACGGTTTGATATCTCTCCCTCGTTCGGCGAACAAACCTGCCTGAACCCTACACGTTAATTACAAATTACACCACGATTTAGTTTAACCAGTGCGTGCGTGCGTGTGCATGTGGACACGTAATGCAAAACGTAGTAGTTTTCGTAAACAATCTTTTAATTGCGGTCTCGTGCCGTTGACGACGCCTTAATCTGCACACGCTTATGGGGAGAGAGAGAGAGAGAGAGAGAGAGAGAGAGAGAGAGATCAGTAGATCGGCAGTAGTTGAGGTGGTTGATCGGTCTATGGCTGCTCACTCTTCTCTCAGCTTGGTGTACACAGTTTGAGACGCGGGAGAGGTGAAGGCAGCTTGCACGCTTGCCCACCCCCACCTTCCCCGCTCACACCGCCCTTCACCTTCCACTTCCAGTCGCAGCTAACCCTCGCAGCTGCACCTGCACACGTACGCCTATATATACTCACCGCGCGCCGCCGCCGTGCACCTGTCCGTCCGTCCGTCCACTGATCGACGACGACGTTAACCTCGCCGGCCGGCGCTAACAATGGACGGACTAGAGGCGGCGGCGGGCGATCAGCAGCACGGGCGCCTGCTGATTCCTCAGCTGCCGGCCGCCTACCTCGCGTCGTCGTCGATGGCGGCGCTTAGCCCTGCGGGGGACGACTGGGCGGCGTCGCTGATCCTCCCAGATGGGGGGTCGGCGGCGGCGGGCGTGGGCGAGGATGATCTTGGCGGAGGAGTGATGGCGGCGGCGGCGGCGGAAAGCAGCTGCGGAGGGAGCAGCACCGTCACGAGCAGTGGCGTTACGGAGGCGGCGGCGGCGGCGGCGACGACCACGCGGCGTGGGAGGGGCAACGGGAAGAAGGCGGGCGGCGGCGGGAGGACGCCGAGGTTCGCGTTCCACACGAGGAGCGAGAACGACATCCTCGACGACGGCTACCGGTGGAGGAAGTACGGGCAGAAGGCCGTCAAGAACAGCGACTTCCCCAGGTATATTATATATACATTGCGTTCTTAATTTCTAGCTAGCGGCTAACGTGTACAGGGCCTACAGGCTACTCATGCATGATATATATTGCATGAATCCATTCATGGCTTGTGCATCTACACGTACGTATGGACAATATTGACGTTGAAAATGCATTAATTAATGGGGCTACTATACCTAGAAGGCTAGAACAAAGGAATTGCTATGAATTTTAGTTACCTTAACCTGGCACTGGATTTAGGAGCGCAAAAGAGGGAGGAGGGGCAACCTTCCGGTGAAGATTACGACGACGGGCCATCTTCTCTTCAATTATAGCGACGACGAGCTCCTTCTCTTCTCTGACGTCGACAACACCCAAACTGCAACAGAGAACCTGCGTTTTATACCCCTCGGCAGGGTTTACATTACCGGTTGACCACTAAATTTCGAACCCCATCGATATCACGGTTTTCGATAAATTTCGATCGGTTTTCGATAAATTTCGACCAAATCTATTGTTTAACCTTCGAAATTCCAATCGAAACTTAATTCCGAGCCGTATCGAAACGTCGAAATTTTGTAGAATTCAACTAGTTTTCGTCGAATTGTGAACCCTGCCGCTCGGTACTTGTACCACGCGGTACCAAAACCCATCCGGCCGTTGATTTCGCGTGGGTAGGATTGGAAAAGGGAAAGAAGCGTTGTTTGTCCTCCTCATCTATCCCGTAGCGTGATTTTCTCTCCCGCAAGAGCGCCGCCCTCTTCTTTTCGGACTCGAGAGCTAGCGCCGCCGAAGAAACCTCGACCCCAAATCCGAAACCCTAGCCGCCAAAAAATCGCGCCCCAAATCATTCGTTCTGCCGTCTTGGCCGACTTGAGTGAAGCGAAGCTTTCCATCCCAGAGGGGGAAGGCTGTCGCGCCGTGGTCTGAATCGCCGGAGCAACCACCATACATCGCCGGAAGCAAACTGCCGCCGTTTCAGTCTTGCCTAGCCTCGACAGCATCTGCCGGCGTATGCGCCGGTGTTGCCGCAACCGAGGGATTTGTTAGGGTTACCTTCAGATCGATACAGAATGATGTGAAAAGACCTCGCTACCCTTCCACCGCACCTGGCGAAGCGGTACCGTGCCAGGGATAAAAATGGTACCGCAAGCTACTGTGCAATCATATCCGTTAGATCTCACCGAACGAACGGCCTAGATTTGGTACCTCGGGGGGGGGGGGGTGCTGGACGATAAAAATTTCCTACAGATTATGGTTTGCAGTGGGGTCGAAATTGGAGGGGAGGTGGAGGGGTGTTTCCCTTTATAGTGATGATTGTTACTTGTGAGTGGTGAAGAAAGACAGTTGGCGAGACGTTCCAGAGCCACGGAGTTGGAGAAGGGTAGTGGCCTAGTGGGTACGGTTGGCAGCGAGGGTGGGGAAGATGGTGGCGCTAGTGCACCTCGCCACTGCCTCGTTTGGGGAGTACCAGAGGAGGAGATGGGAGGGGAGGGAACGGAGAGGAGGCCCGTTTGCTTGTCCTAGCTTACAGGTGTTGTTGGCACATTTCGGTGTCATCAACGTTAGGGGCGGTACTTTAACGTAGGGGAGACAATGGCGCTCAATAAGGAGGCGTGATCTTCGATGTACACCATTTGCCCGTACATGACTCACATTAGTGAGTGAGTTGTGGAATAGTAGGAAATGGGAATATGATAAGGTTAGTGTAGCGCACAAATCTTTTGGCTCAATTTAGGCCGTCAAAAACTGGTCGAAATTTGTTCATATTTTTCAAGTGCCTAAAAATAAATAGTTCCATAAAACTAATGCAGTTTATAAAATGAAAACAAATCTATACTCCTTTTAAAAGAGGGCAATGCTGGTGGCAGTGAATCTGCCATCACCACCACCACCTCATTTATTTTTTTTATTCCACGCCTACTTCATCATGTTTTCTACCAACTATTCATGTATTTTAATGTTATAGAATAATCCATCTATCATATTTTTCATCTGTACAATATAAGATCTACAGGGATGAAATTGTCCCAAAAACCTTTAATATTATTTTGTTTTAATCCGTAGTGTATGAGTATTTGGCTAGTAAAATAAAATAATATATTTGAGAAAATCTGTCACCTATATATATTACGGATCCAATGAAAATACAGACATGTGTCATGGACTCTAGCCTATGTATGAAAGATATGGAGAGATATAGAGAAGAATTACAGATGATCAATATTTAATGACTTCGAAAATTTACCAGCTGGATTAGCTTATTGAGATTGGGGTGGCTAGTTTTGGGATAGGGCAAGCGGATTCACAATGAAAGCCTTGATGGCGAAGGCAACAATGGGCACATCCTTGGCTGTGCAAGAGAATGAGGCTAATGGATAATGTCAATATATAGTACGTTTGAGGGAGTTGATTGGTGAGTTTAGAGGATTCAATAGTGTGTGAGCCATCGAAGGGCGAGGCAAAACATGGTGAGGATGCATGGCTTGATCGCACGGGAGGCAGCGAGCAGCAGCTATAGGAGAGAGGGATAGGAGAGAGGGAAGCCCTGCCGATCGATGTAGGCAAGCTGGCAAGGTAACCATGCAATATTGGGGAAGGCCGGAAGGGTGGAGGGGGTTATGTGATGAGAGGCTTAATTAGGGCCAAAAACAGTTACTACACAAATTCTTGAGGAACTATAATATTGCCTGTGTGCTGCAACGATATTTTAATTGATGAAATGATCATTAACCTAGCCACTATTATCATTATTTTTTTATACATCATTTCTTAAATTTTACATATATTTATGACTAATATATGGGTCATACAGCTTCACAATATCATATTTCTTTCCTAAAAAAATAGATAGGGTGGTGGGGCGGTTGACATGTGGGACTTTTGGCACCACATGTTCTTTACTCCAAAAGGGTAAGGAGTTGGTGGTGGGGTAGTGAAAGATTCACCACTCACCACCACCAGTACTATTTTTTAAAGAAGTATAGATGTAAATTATCCTAAAGTTTTGAATATTTGGAAAGAAATGGAGATGATAAATAACGTTTGAATGAACTTTTTTTTTGGGGGGTGTAAATATAATGCCTTTTTAATCTTCAGATATATATCCCGCTTGAAAATTCATGCATCAGTTCATCATGCTCTCCAATTCATACAAGCTCTTGTCTTCTCTACAGCATGTTAGTTAAGTAAGGGTAAAAGGTAGGATGGTGTTTAGGAGAAAGGGAAGGAGAGGGGAACTCCTAGTAGGATATAGAGGAAGCTACGCTAGGACGGCGAGGCAATGGTGCCATGAGTGCACAACAGATCGAGAGAGCATATATTGGGAGTACTGGGCCTGTTCTGCAGCTGCAGCGCAGCCGACACCAACAGTGTCGCACGCACACGGTGCAGTTGCAGTTGTCGCAGCCAGCTTGCTGAACAGGCCCACTGACATTATTGATTGGAAGGGTACATCGCTAGCCTATATTATATTGGAAAAAGTACGAATTACCTCCCTCCCCTGAACTATCACAGTCGACCGAATTACCCCTTGAACCCGAAAACCAGACATTGCTCACCCTAAACTTTTAATATCGGACGAATTACCCCCCTCGATACTGTTTTGTACGGTTTTGACTTGAGCTTGCACACATGGCGCCAATGTAGCAATCCAATCAGAAAAAACCCTTCCTAGGCCCACCTGTCATACCTCTCTCTCTCCCCGGTCGCTCTCTCTCTCTCTCCCCCCCGGATGCCGCGCAGCCACAGCGTGAGCGCCACCATCGTCCGGGGGAGCCTCGCCACCGTGACGACCCTCGCCACCCCCATGGGCCTCTCCCCCGCCGCCACCATCGCCACCGCGTCTTTGCCATTTGCGCCCATGCTACCGAGGGGAAGCCGGGACGAACGAACAGTCGGCGGCAGGCGGGCGGTGGGCAGCGGCGCGAGACGAGGAGGGGGAAGGAGGAAGGAGGATCCCACCGCCGTCTCGCTCCATGTCCCGCCGCCGTCGCCGTTGCCTTTCGCAGCTGCCTCTGCCCCCTCCGGCCGTCGTCCTCGGCTCCCTGCCCATCGTCCTACCCCCCCTCCGGCCACCGTCCTCGGCTCTTCGCCTGCCGCCGCCTCCTCTGTTCACAGAGAGAGAGAGAGAGAAAGAGAGGGGGGAGGCAGAGAAGGAGAGAAAAAAAGTGTTGACAGGTGGGCCCCACCGTTTTTTATTTGTTTTTGCTGACTGTATCGCCACGTGTGTGCCACGTAGGCTGAAAACCGCTTCGAATCTAGTTAGGGTGGTAATTTATTCGATTTTGAGAGTTTGGGGTGTCAAATGTCTGGTATTGTAGTTTAGGAGGTAAATCGTACTACTGCAATAGTTCGGAGGGGCGAGGGTAATTCGTATTTTTTCCTATTATAATAGTGTCATATTTGGCCTATCATTGTAACTTATTAACATATACTAACATACTTCCTCTATAGTTCATGTTAAATAAAAAAACAGAGTATAAAGATCTTAAATTAAAGGGATAGGGGTGCACCATTAGTCAACAATAGATAGGCATATACGTGTTCCATGGCACTTCGTGCATCCATTGCAAATCGTTCAACAATAATCAGCTAGCTACACTCATGTACGTACAAGTGTACAACATGATTAATTAACTCTGTTCACTCATATACGTGGATGTCATTATGCCAAGTACTGACGAGACATATCACAGGAGCTACTACCGGTGCACGCACCACACTTGCAACGTGAAGAAGCAGGTGCAACGCCTTGCCAAGGACAGGGGCATCGTGGTGACCACGTACGAGGGCGTCCACAACCACCCGTGCGAGAAGCTCATGGAAGCGCTCAGTCCCATTCTCAGGCAGCTCCAGCTCCTCTCGCAGCTGTAATAAATTAATTAATTAATCAACCGTGTAATCCACTTCTAATCAAGCTCTAATCGTGCACAAAACTGCATATATAACTTGACAAGCTAAGTCGATCTATACAGCCAAATTAATTATACGTACTCGGATGGGAAAGAGAAGGAAAAAAGGGTTGTCCTACCTCCCATCATATAGTGCTTACACTGCTACTACTGCTTACTCATACATACATGTACACACGGTCAAGTGATAGTGTTAATATATAAATCACTTAGATATTTACACGTTCATGTCTCCTGATGTTCACAAAGCTTACAGAAAATGTACTTTATATGTGCTTCAGCTAGCACCTTGTAATTTGTTCGAGCAAATATATATGTATACGAATCTTTCATGTTTTTATTTATATGTATTTAATAATCATTGTTTTCTATAAATCCCAATGAATTTACAATGTCCTAAAGAAATTTACATTGATACATGAGGTCCATCATAATTTTTCTATTAGAGTGTTACATAAGCACCACGTCAACTAAAAACCGGGTTGAATACAACCTTGAGATGGCATTTCCACTGGTATTAGGAGATGAGGGATGCGTTATATTCGGCTTTGCGGTTGAGGAATTACTGTGATTGAAATTCGACCATAAGATGAGGGACATGAAGAAAACTTAAGCCTTATTCAGTTTGTTTCCACTTTCAACCTTACTAAATTTTGACATCACCAAATTTAAATAAGACAACAAACTAATTAAACACATTTAACCATTACTACCTTACAAAATTTTAGCAGTTCTATAGAAGCTTTCTCTCTTAAAACTCTACCAAAATTTGGCAAAGACATCGAAGCAAACAAAATCAACACTACGAAATTTAGTACTACCAAAATAGATCAAAATTTAACATTACCAAAATGTGATTTGGGAAACAAAGTGAACAACCTAACCTAAACCACCCACGAGGCAAACTTAAAACACCTCAATCCGTCTCCACAGAAAAAATTCTCGACAGGGGAGGCCCAAACCCAAACATCTAGCCGCCTTATGGCCCATGCAATAATAAAAGGCACTAGATTTGGCCCATGAATTACTCAGCTGAGGGGCTACGGAAGAAGGACGGACCAGCTAAGGCCCACTTAAGCTCCGCATAACCATCTCGCCGCCGGCCGAGCCGCCTCCCTCCGCGCCGCCCTCTCACCAACCCGTCCCAGCGAGCGCTCGCGCGGCGGAGATCGGCTGCCACCGCGGGCGGGATATCGCCGGCCAGGAAGCAGGTAAGCCTCTTCCGCTTCCCTCGCTCTACTGCGTACTGGCTGGAAGAGCTTTCGGTGCTTCTCCTCTCTGTGCGGAAGCCGCAGAGGTAGGGTTTTAGGCTTTTAGGCACGGACGACGACCTTTGGGTGGTGGGGGATTAACTGGCAGTTGGGGAATTTATGGTCGAATTGGACCAGTTTTCAGCGATTGGAGCTCGTCAGAGTCTTAGGTGTGGGTTTGGATCGAAGGAGCTTTCTGATGTTGCTGCAGAAAATGTTTACTGGAGTAATGCAGAAATTGTCACTGGAGTAGTGCCTTGGTTCTGTGAGATTATGCCGGTTGAACTGGCCAAAGATTTTACCTCGTCGTTTGATGGTTAGCAGTGCATTGGATTTATTTTGGGGTAAAACCCTGTTCGTGTGAGATCTGTGATAACTGATAACCAAGTGCGCCTGTACATGTTTTAATCAGATCTGTTCGTGATGGCACATTGTTTGTCATGGTTCCTAAATCATACGGAGTATATATTAGAGGCGTGAACTACCACATGCTGATGTGGGTGGGATGATTTTTTACTTTGTGCTGTTACTGGGTTTTGTGTAAAACCAATAGAGCAGAACCAAGGGAACTAATCTTCTGAATAATAAGCAGCGTTTTAGAATTTTAGATTAAGTAATTTTGCAAGGTGTTGTATAACAAGCTATTTAGGAAAATAGTCTCCTGGGCTTCTGGCATGGTTCATTTCTATGCATACCTAGTTGGGGATAAATGTCAGCCAGATGTATGTGTAGTCCGAATGCCTATATGATTAATTCATACTAAATTCTAATGTTTGTTCATTTTTCAATTTTGATGTTTCAGTTCCCTGAAAAGAAGATTGTGCAACAGTCCAGGAACTCGAAGATGAACAAGGGTAAAATTTTTAAGTTAGCAAAAGGATTCAGGGGAAGGGCAAAAAACTGCATAAGGATTGCTAGGGAGAGGGTGGAGAAAGCATTGCAATACTCATACAGGGATCGGCGCAACAAGAAGAGGGACATGCGGTCTCTTTGGATTGAGCGCATCAATGCTGGTACACGAATCCATGGGGTATGTAACTGCGTATCCAGTAATGCTTGAAGTCTCAGTGTCTCACGTCTCAAGGACATCATTTTTTTTATCCATCGCTCTTTTATCCTTGAGTATAGGCCGAATAATCTATCAAAAGTATAACTTTTGGATTTCAAGGTCACGCACTGCAGGCCCTATGTCTAATATACTGTTTTAACTGACTACCCCAGGTGAACTATGGCAATTTCATGCATGGATTGATGAAGGAGAATATCCAACTCAACAGGAAGGTACTTTCAGAGCTGTCGATGCATGAGCCATACAGCTTCAAAGCTCTTGTCGACGTCTCTCGCACTGCATTCCCTGGAAATAGGCCTGTTAAGAAGGAGGGGCTAGCGAGTATTCTTTAAAACAAACCTCCCCAAGTCTTGTTACAATCACGTCTGAATGAAACTGGTATTGTTGCCTTCAGCCTGCAGCCGTACAGGAAACTCAATGGCAGATATTGCATTTGTAATACTATGTAATTCTGTTTGGAAAGCTGTGGAAGAGAAACACCTAGTTACATGTGTTCTTCTTACCTGTTATTGTTGGTTTTTTTTGGATAATGTGCTCTGTTTACCTTGATAAATATAACAGAATGGATGATTATCATTGTTTTTGTACTTTCTGCATAATAAGCTTGGGAGGCAGCCAGGTGGCCACTTATTTTCTAATCACATGGGAAACTGATATGTTCTCTTTAGGCTGTGTTCGCATGCACCTTTTCCCATCCCCTTCCCCTCGTTTTCCGCGTGCACGCTTTTCAAACTGCTAAACGGTGCATTTTTTTGTAAAAAGTTTCTATACAAAAGTTACTTAAAAAAATCAAATTAATCCCTTTTTTTAAAAAAATAGCTAATACTTAATTAATCACGCGTTAATGGACTGCTCCGTTTTCCGTACGCAGAAGTTGGGTTCCCATCTCCCCCATCCGAACTCAGCCTACTCTTTCTTCGTACTTTCCTCCAGCTGAAGTCATGTAACCTTAACATCTCAAATTTGGTGAGTGGATTGCATCATCTAATCATATTTCTTTAGAAAAACAGGTGCTTCATCGACAACCACTGCATGCATGTTGCTATATGATGTGCCTGCGTAATCGTGGCATTTCCTAGTACTGCTGCCAGGTACCAACCTACCATGTTCTGTAAAATTGTTTTCTTCAATCAACTGTTCTGTTAAATCTGTTATGTCATTCTCAAACTGACAAGTTACCCATCTTCTAATGCCTCTTCTTTTTCGAACATTTCTAATGTCTCTTGTAGTCTTGTCCCTGCTTTCGGAAGACCCAGACAACTTAACCCAACACACAAAACTATAGGTTGATCTTTGCTTTTAGATGGAATGGTTTCTGAATATTTTTCCAAACATGTTAGCAAATTATCCCAGTTCTGTGTATTAAAACTTTTACCAGTTTGTACGAGGGGTCACAATCCACCACGTTGTATTACCGTTACTTTCTGCATCATCTGAGGAACTCATGAGATTAACCTGCTGTTAGGTAAGACGATGACAATCTAAAAAAGGATTGAAAGAGATCTCTTCCGGGCAATAGGCAACCCGTCGTTTTCTCCCCGCCGTGTTTGATCCTTTCTTGGATCATTACTGTACGCGTAGGCCTTTGGGCTAGAGGCGAGAAATTCAGTCACCCACAGCCTGTCCAGAGCTTAGCTCAACAAATCGCATTGAATTGGCAGTCGATTTCAGCATATGGGAAAAAAAGGGACATATAGGTCGGCATAATACCTGATAGCTAGTAGTAACAAGTAGCAGAAGCCAATGCTCAGTAACAGCCTGAGATAAAACTCTTAGAGCAGACTATTAGTGAGCTATAAGCATATTTAATAAGATAAAAGATGAGAGATAAGAGTAGTGGGCTACAGATCTGTAGCCAGCTGCAGCGCGGACTCCTAGACATATGACAGGTGGGACCATATATTAATAGTATATTAAGCAACTATTGTATGAATTGGCTATAGATGAATTGAAACTAGTAGTAGGCTATACTATTAAACTTGCTCTGTTGCAGGTTGCTGGTAATATGTTCATATATGTTGCATTTACATCTTGAGTTCAGACGAATCCGCTATACCTGCATCCGTATCCAAACTGACCGACAGTTACTTAAGAAATAGTACGTGTTGAATTTGCTAATAGCACCAATAATCTCGTTGCAGCATCTAGGTAATCTAAAATACCACTTTTTCTCCGATCCCATGAAACAAAATTAAAATACAGAGACCAAAAAATTTCGAGCCTATTTTCTCCTTTGTTTTGGTATCTATAGTTAGCAATCTGTCGTACTTTTAAATGTTACTCTAGGTTAAATCCTGCAACGAAGTAATGAAGAAATTGTTAAGCAACTCTGATAGGTAATACCATATGACTATATCCAAGGCCTCCCTGATGGAAAGTCAGAGGTAGAACATGGATGCGATAGCATTGTCAGCTAGGACCCTTTATTTATTCTGTTCTCCATTCATTCTTGTGCATGCTGGATGGCCTATTTCTATATCATCATATCAGCTGGAATCTATTGATTAAGAGCAAAGCATATGCAAAGAGACGTGAGTAAGCTATCGACTATCCTTCCACTAAGCTCCCTTGGTTAGTTATAAACCTACAATGATGGTGCTTACTAGCTTGCTAAGACAAAGTCATTGACGTAGGGGATCCATTGACCAACCTTGCTAAGTTCACCACTGTTTTTCCAGTTTTTCTTTAAGTATCCTGTAGAATTGTTCATCTCTTTGCGTACCAACATGATATTTATTTTTTTGAGAACATGATATTTATTCGATGCACGTATATATTTGTTTTGTGTCCATGAGCTGGCTCATCATAGAATGTTAGTTGAATATCTGATCAGCACATAGGCAAATCATTAGATGCTAACAACTCATATCCGTAATCAATATACAAATTTCCTCGTTTCATCCTTGTTTTCGTCGCCTCAGTAAATCTAGAGAAGCACTACGTATCACCAATTTTATTCTCGTTTAATCCGATCACCAATTTTTTTCCGCACAAAAGAACAATAACCCTTTGGTAGTTGGTAGAACTTGTCAGCTAGCAGATTAGAAATTTCCCGGTAGAGCTGTAGAATTACGTGAAAATCGTGGACGAAATTTATTACTACCACTCATTTTTTAACGAAGGAAGCTGCGGTTTTCTGTTCAGTGCTCGCTCACTCACCGGGCACCAGCAGCGGCAGCTTCAGGCCAAGCGCTCCACTGGAGCTAACTGAAATGATGCTGTTCACCACGAGGAGCTGGAGAGGAAACTACTCGTAGGCAGGAATGAATGTTTCGACGAGGCAATCAATGGGTGTCGCCCTGCCTGCCCCGACGACCCGGTGATCCGATGTGATATCGCACTGGGTGGGCAGCCACCGGACGGCGCTCCCCGCCACGCACATGCTCGCGGCTCATCATGGCTGTGTACTGGTGTGTAGTAGCTCTTGCCTTGCCAGGTGCGGCACTGGCCGGCCGAGCCGCGCGCACCGATCTCAGTCGTCTCGCTCGCCTAGCCACGTTACGCGCAGCCCACGTTAGGTCACGCCCACCCCGACGGCCGACACGCCCGCGCCCGTTACGCGCAGCCACGCACGCACGCGCGATGCGCGGCACGGCACGCCACGGCGCGCCGTGCTACCGGACGATCGAGAGGCCGACGCGAACGCGCGGCATGCGGTGCACACGGATGCTGGCGCGCGGTGGAGTGCATGGGTTGGCGCACGCATGCCCACGAGCCCACGCGAGGGGACGGACACTCCGGGCGCGCAAGGTCGTGCCAGATAATATACGATCACCTGTTGGATTTGCTCCCGTGGCCACAACCCACAAGCCACAAGCCGGCGATCGCGCGCGGTGGTTGCGGGTCAATTTCGCTCTCGCGCCGTGGTTCGGGCTCGAGCCTCTCATCGTCACACCACCACCAAACGCGACGGCTCACCATGTGAAACGTGAATCCACCTCGTGTACTAGCTTCAAGTGAGTGAGCTCACGGCTTTAACGTGGAGGCGCGGAGTTATGTTTTCTCGGGGGCGGCTGGCTTGCTCCCGATATATTGCTGTGCTTGTCTCCGCTTTTCTCCGCGGCGCGGCCCCGGCTTGGACTCGCTTTCCGCGACACGAGGCTGTGCTTTTCTCCGCAGGAGAGAGAGAGAACGGGAGAGTGGTGGTGGTGGCTGCAAGCTACTACTACTCCTACTGCAACCGCGTTGCATTAGGTCGCGTTCGCTTGGACTGTTCTGTGAGCTAGGAGTATATCTAATCTTCCTCCCGAATCGTCAAACTAGTTTGGTGGTGGGCTAGCTGCAGCCAGCCAGCCAGCCAGCCAAGGGAGCGGCGCATTGCGTGCGTGCGAGGAGGGGAGGAGGGGGAGTGATGAGGGCGGGAATCGGCAGCGGCAGCGGCGGCGGCACTACGCCGGTGCGGCCGCGATGGGGGTCTGGTGTGACGACGCCGCGGTCGCTGAGCACGGGGTCGTCGCCGCGCGGGTCGGACCGGAGCTCCGACGACGGGGAGGAGCTGGTCGAGGTGACGCTCGACCTGCAGGAGGACGACACCATTGTGCTGAGGAGCGTCGAGCCGGCGGCGGGGGGAGCGGCCGTGGCGTCGTCGTCGGGTGCGTCGCCGTCAGCGGTGGCGCCGCCGAGGCGGGCGGAGCCGCCTGGCGGGGTGGCGTCGCGGTCGAGGTCGCCGGCGATGCGGCGGACGTCGTCGCACCGGCTGCTGCAGTTCTCGCAGGAGCTCAAGGCCGAGGCCATGGCCCGCGCGCGCCAGTTCTCGCAGGACCTCACCAAGCGCTTCACGCGCACCCAGAGCACCACCACCGCCCCGCCGGGCATCGAGTCCGCCCTCGCGGCCCGCGCGGAGCGCCGGCAGCGCGCGCAGCTCGACCGCACCAAGTCCGGCGCGCAGCGGGCGATCCGCGGCCTCCGCTTCATCAGCGGCCCCAACAAGGCCAGCAACGCGTGGATCGAAGTCCAGGCCAACTTCGACCGCCTCGCCCGCGACGGCTACCTCTCCCGCGACGATTTCCCGCAATGCATAGGTCAATCTCTTCCCCAATCGCCCCCATCCCCTTCCCAAACATTCCAGTCTCCTTACTTTCCCCAGCTGCATTTGAGATGCAGGGATGACGGAGTCGAAGGAGTTCGCCATGGAGCTGTTCGACACCTTGAGCCGGCGGCGGCAGATGCAGGTGGACAAGATCAACAAGGAAGAACTGCGCGAGATCTGGCAGCAGATCACCGACAACAGCTTCGACTCGCGCCTCCAGATCTTCTTCGATATGTAACTACCGTGCCGTACCAATTTGTGGACTGATTATTGATTTGTTCCGTTAATGTGACTCCGTTTTGGTATGCGATTTATTCAGGGTGGATAAGAACGCAGATGGCCATATTACGGAGGCTGAGGTGAAAGAGGTAATAATAGTCCAATGCTGAGGTTGCTTTTTTTTTTTTTACTTCCTGTATTACTCCATATTTTCCTGTCTTTTGGGGATATATTTTTTCGAACTGTTTTCCTGGGATATTTTGGTTTATGGAGTATTTGGATGATTGTGCTGTCCATTTCCCCAGCTCTGTAGGTGTGTGTACTTGTTTTTTGTTGTCT